AGCCTTCAGCTCTGAGGCTTCTCAGAGTGGTTTTCATTCTTTTTAATCAAGAGGATACTGGCTTTCCCTTTTAGGCCAGATGTCAGGGAGAATAAAAAAGGAAGTCTGTACCCCAGATGTTCTAAGTAATTGGGTGATCAGTTGCAACCGCTGCATTCTAAGTGTGGGCACAATGAAAGCATTCTATATTACCCACTAAGAATTTATTGTACATGAATGTTTCCCTTTCAACACTTCTTTGATCTGTCTTCCATATTTTTCATATTTATGTATGACTCGACACTGGAGCAAAAATGATGCATCTACAGCTATTGATATCTCGTCTCTGGGAGAAAAGTATGACCCCTAATGAACTTGGCAACGTTGTTGCTTCAGCAGCTGTTTTGCAATTAGAAGCAGAGAATATATTTTGAAATGCATCTGCAAGCCAGTTAGTCTTAGTATTTTGTTTCACTTCTCATTTAAAATTGCAGCTTTCAGCTCGATTTGACGTTATGTGTGTACCCACATGAGTAAGACATAACAAGTCTTAAGCGTTTGAGGAACATATTTATGTTCTGAGCAGTACAGGAAGTACTTTGTACTAAAACCAACCCTTTGGTGGATGAAGATTTGTTTGAGTCACACGTTCATATGTTAAATCATATATGTGAGTGTGCAACAAGAGGATTTTCCCTGCTGTGTCTGTTGTGGGATGGAAGTATTATCTTATTTTTAGGAGCTGAAGAACCTATAGTAGGGAGTGACATGGCTTCCTTGGTGTTCCTGCTTCATTTTTTATTCTGTCTGAGGGAAGCAGACTGCAGTGCTTCCAGTAGACCACACACGTCATGTCTAAAAGGTCATGTTGTTTCACATGGCGGTGGCTTTTATAGTTATGCATCTTTGTCTGAGTATATGTGTGTGTAATATATAAATAGTTATGTCGACTCAGACATTCAAGAACAAAAATCATAAAAAGTAAACATCTAGTCCAGGAGCATGAACCCCCTTTCCCCACAAAACATGTAAAATACACACAGTTTTAAAGTACAACAGTTCAAAGTATATTATTTAGTTTGTTTTTATAGGATCCTCACACCCGTCCTCTTTAAATAATAAACTACAGACAAATCATAAAATAAGATTTATTGAGATGAGATGGAAACAGTAAAGAAAACTGGGTTTAGCTGAGTGGAGAAAGATTGCTGTAATTATGATATTCTATGTATCATTTAGAACAGTGTCTCTTTTACATTTCTGCACTCGTTTGTACGGGCTCCCTTACAAGTGGTCTGCTGCATTATATACCACTTTTAAACCAAAGTGTGGGTTTAACGCTACATAGAAGTTCACATCTGCTTTGACCTTTATGGAAGCCTGAAGCCAACTGCTATTAGCACATTTTTAATTTAACTCTCTCTGCCTACTCCTTAGATGTAAATATTTCATTAGAAAAGGAAAAACTGCATAGTAGGCACTCACCACTTCTTGGCCAACAGATTTGGCACAAGATATTTAATGAGTATACATACAAATATTTAAAGCGTTTTTGTATGTGTGCTAGCTTTAAGTCCACAGCTCTAGTAACACAAACATATACCCAAGCCTAATATTGAAAGCTGTACATGTTTTATTGTTTACTATTAACTGCTTCTAGAGGCACACTTGCAAATGTAAACATTGCTATTTCTCACTGTATGTGCAGCAAACTACTACATTAAATACACTATAGGTCCCTTGATCACCTCCCATTGAAGTGGTCTAGGTGCAGTGTCCCTGACCCCTTAACCCAATGTAGAACATTGCAGGGTTAGGACAGCCTCTAGTGGCTTTCTTGCAAACCGCCAATAGAGGAACCTGTTTTTCAGAGTTTAGCTCAGTGAAATGGTGTTGGTTGTATAGTGTTTCTTGTTTGTTGAGATTTTGAAACTTAATGTGCCTTTACTTTTTTAATATGGCATTTCTTTTGCAACATTAAAGCTATGATCATGTCACTGTATTCACATTTGTTTGCTTTGGTATGTATATGCCAATAATAATTATTATTATTATAATAATTGTACCAGGCTTGATAAAGGCTTTCGTGAGAGCAGAAACTTTGCTCATCATTTCCACTTAAACTGTCTTGGGACAGTACCAAAGTGCCTTTTTTTGTATCCATCGTGAAAAAGGAGTGGAACTGCCCTCAGCGACTGTCCATCTACGTGCATGTGCCTTCTCCTATATTTCCTCAATAGTCTCTTTTAAACCATTGCTTGTTTTGCCAATGAGGGGAAGCTTGGGAGGTTGTATAGATTTTAGTATCTGTGAACATCCTTTTGACTGGATGGAAATCCAAAACTGATTGTTGAAAAGATTTAGAATAAATAATTTATGAAACTCAGTAATTGATTTAAAGACCTTCAGGCATTCTGTACATCATGTAGTGTTTGAACCATGGAGTATCTTTCTGCATTCAGTTGTATTGATTGTAAAGTACTCAGCTGATTTTAAGGATTATCAAGTCTTTGCATGCATTTTTGCCTATTTCATATTCTTTCAAATCACAGAAAACTAATTCCATTCTTTTGTTTAAGATAGATTTGTAAAAAAAGGAATTCTATCTTGGGTTAACCAGTTAGAAAAATGTCTGTCTACATAAACAAGGGGCTAGCCAGTAAGTTGACCGGAACTCACCTCTGCAGTGATGACTGTTTGGTACCAATCCAACCGTTATCGACTGAATCTGGCTAGTGTTTGGGGGGGGGGGGAACGCTGTAGAATTCTTTGGCTACTTTGGAAAGTTGACAAATTTATGTCAACTCGGCAGCAATGATTGCTCCCAACTGCAAGGTCTAATCTCACTGAAGTCAATGAAGTTCACTTGTTACAGTAAATGTGCAGATTTGTCCTCATCTTTGGCTTGCTAGCTTAGTAGAAGCTTGGTTTTAGTGGATGAGATGACATAATGTTCAGATCTAATGAATATGCTTAATACGTTGTTTTAGATTTGCCACATGGCCTAATGAATGTCTGTTTCAAGCCAATATAGAGAAGAGTACATTACAGCTGAGCAAACAAGCAGAGAGTCTGTCATCATTTCGCCCATTATGCAGTGGCATTAAATATACATATAAGGAAGGGAGCAGATGCTTTTGTTCATGAATTGATAAGTAAAGAAGCAGCCTTTCCCAGCAGGGTTCTGCTCAATCTGCTACTCCTTTACATGTAATGAATAGCTAATTTCTCCAGGATGGTCCAAGAAAGGTAGACTGCGCAAGTGCACGGAGGGGGAGATCCAGAAACTAAAACCAGCAGGATGCGGAACGATGTGCTTTTTAATGGGGATGCATTTTCACAATTGCAGGGGGTGATAATCATAAAGACATGCTCATCTGTTCATATTCAAATGAGAAATTTACAGAAACAAGGAGGTGCTCTCCTGGTATGTGAATAGCTTAAAAGGGAAGCAAGCACATTGTTAGATAGCAATGTGCAGCACGCAGGATTTACATTTTGCTAGTGTGATGGTTTAGTCTCCAGCATTTTTAACTTTGTGTACTGTAGGTCTAGGAATGCTTATTATTGAATGCTTCTCTTTCTTGAGGAATGTTTCATTTTTAGCCAGGCAGTACTGCACCACCTCTGGTCGTTTCATGGAGCAGTGCACCCGATGGCATATTTCTTTCCAGTTCTCATTTTGGTCTGGATCCCTCTAGAATATCTGTGTTTTACGTGAAAAAATACTTATGACAATTTTTAGGCAGTGTTTAGGAAAAAACAGTGCACATACAGATTTGATAATCTACTCTCATGCTTTTTGGGGTAAAGGGCAAACCATGCAGTTGTTTTCCTTAACTTTTGGCATGCTCACAGAACATATAGGGACTACCAAATCAGTGACTGCTTTTAGAAGTAGTTAGAACTGGTCATATTCCTTAAAGGGTCACTCCAGCACATAACTTAGCATTCCAATGGTTAAGGTGCAGTGTACCCTGTTTCTCGTGTCCTTGCTCAAAGTGGTTTATACGAGCAGTGTTTATCTGCTGAGCATTTAGAACAAGAGTACTTAGACAATGTTTGTGTGCATTAAAGGAGCACTCCAGGCTTTCATCCGAAAAATGTACAGAAACAAATGAAAAATAATGAATTCTACTTGCATTGAAAGAGCCATCTTTTGCTGCATTGCAGTGAGTAATCCTAATCAGGGAAGTGACTCAAAGGATGACTATTTCTGGAAAGGGGAGGCAAAATGGTAGCGATTTGAATATGGTGAAAAATATGTGGATATGAGGCCATATGCACTTAAAGGCCTACTCCAGGCACAATGTCCACTTCAGGGATTTGAAGTGGTCATGGTGCCCTGGGCTCTGTATGTGCAGTGTTTCACTGTGATACAGTTTAACCAGTCTGCTGCCAGAGGTGTAACTACTTTTGACAGTGCCACTAGCCAAGAGCTCCAGGCAGGCTAATGTCAATTCTGTACATATTCTTTGCAAAGAATTGCATAAATGATTCAAATTTGAATAAGCGAGTAGTCAGCTGACATTCTGAACCAATGATGAGAATGGCTGGTGGGATTGACTTTTGCACCTCTGCAGAAGCTGGGTGTTCTCACTGGCCACAGGAGGGCAATCTGCCCTGTGAGGACCCAGGTAAGAGTGCTAACTGTTGCAAATCTTTTTCCATTACTAGGAACCAAGGCCAGGGCACTTTTCCAAAAAACAGCTTTCAAAATTAGAAGACTGTAGTGGTTATGATGCTTGGAGTAACCCTTTAAGGGAATACAAACTTCTGCTGCGTGCGCTCTAAGCAAATGTTTCTCATAATAAAGTATTGTATACTATAAAGTGAGCTGCATTTGGTCACATGACAGTGGTCTGGGTGCATTAAATGGTCCTTTAAGTTGTGTTGGAGTCTTTCGTGTCCCATTAAACCAATAAGATTTCTAACGTCATATGGTCTTTTACAGAAGAGTAATGGCAAAAGAAATGAATGTGTCCGTTTTAGATGCAAAACCTGAGATGGCCTGCTGAATCCTGCGTTTCCTGCATTTTATAGATAATGGACAAATGTGTCTAGAACAATGGATATGTGAAATGTTTTTTCTATTGGTGAAAATTCTAAATTAAAGGAGGAAATACCCGGATCAACCTTTCACTTGATGAAGGCAAGGCAAAAAACTGTAAATAAACTTTCTGCAAAGCATGTAAGGTAAACCTGCGTAAGTTTGTTTGCAGAGGGCAAACTAGTTTGGTCAATTCGTACATATGTTATTGTAATCTGTTCCTTGAAATGGGATTTCAGTTATTTTTCTAGGGTAAGTATTCTTTAAACAATAATGCAAAATAGGCATGCTGGAAAAAGTCCTCAGGCCTTGCTAATAGGGCAGAATTTCTGGATCTTGTATAAGCACAGGTGGCTTGATCACGTGTCTAATTCATGTAGCACCGGTGGCCAACACAGTTTCCAAAACCCAATTGCATACTTATTCTCGGAGTTAAAATAGGTCAGTAACGCACAAGTTGCTGCGTGGAAACAATTAATATTCACTTAATATAGGATGTTGGCAAATTAAAACAAATTACTCTATTTCCTTTAAATACTAATTTATCTGTAAGGTTTTCCTACAATTTACTCCTCTCCTCAATGATAAAATTAAATACAGAGTGTCAATCCTGACCTAGTGAACCTTTGTTTTTAACATTTAAATGGACTCTATGTAGGGTAGAGGTGTTAAAATGTCTCCTTGAGTAGTGTTAATCCTGCTAGAGATATAAAATTTCTCTAACTTGTAACTAGTTAACTCGAACAGCAAATAGCGTCTGGAACGTTGTAATGTTAAATCCAATTTACACATACAGATTAGGAATACCTTAACTGCTAGATTTAGAGGATGCACACTATATGAAAAGTTTAATAGCTTGCCTGATGCCCTAAAACTGCATGTTTACGTTAAATCAATGTTAGATTTGTTGACCGTCTAAATCAATCCATGCCTTCTGCTTCACTTTGCCAGTGACACAAGTCTAATGCTGCTAGTTTCCTGCTATTTTTAAACGTTTTAGAAAATGACAGAACACTTCAGGTAAATTCAGGCACAGCCAGGGCACCCATTGCAAATGGGGAGAAATAAAAACATTGTTTAATTGTGAATTGTGAATTGTGAATACCCCTTCAGCAGCTTACCTTATTCCAGCGCCAGGCTCCCTCGGCACTGGTGACCTCTCCTCACCCGCTGTCAGCAGAGCCGAATGCGCATGCGCAGCAAGTGCCGCTCGCGCATTCAAAGTGTCCGTAGGAAATAATTTCTCAATGCTTTCCTATGGACACTGCGCGATGGAGGCATAATATGCCTCCAGCGTTGCAGATGCGCCTCTAACCCCAAATGTAAACATGGCAGTTTCTTTGAACTGCTATGTTTGCATCTGGAGGGTTAAAACCTGAGGGACCTGGCACCCAGACCACTTCATTGAGCTGAGGTGGTCTGGGTGACTATAGTGTCCCTTTAAGGATTTTTTTTTAGTAAATTTTTCTCATAATACAAATCACAAATCCCGGAAAGTTACAGTTCCCATTTTAAAGTGACAGCTTGAGGAACATTCATTACATTATTCTGAGATGTAAGCTAAGAGCGAGAAGACCACTATATTCATATCTCTAATGTTGTTTAAAAAAAAAAAAAAAAAACTCTCAATTTAATAGTTAAAGGAAAAATAAATACTGATTGTTATGGAGAGACATTAACCCTGTCCCTTTTAGTATTATGCAGAATGCTGGTTGGCATGACAACCATGTCATATTGTCTAATGAGATTTTTATTTTAAATGCACACACTTTAACCTTTTCAGTACCACAGAGGCTTATATCTGTCACAGTAGTGGGTTTTGTTGTTGAATGAAACCTGACCTTGTCCACAGAGAGAGACTTTTCAGACTATCTCTGTAGATCTCCATGGTTTCTGCAGTAATCTCCCTTGTCCTTCAGTGTCCCAAGCTGCCATCATCTGAGTATTCTGACACGTCTCTCCTGAAGGAGTTTCTTCAGGGCGTCACTTGTTCTACGTGGAAGTCCTTATGGGAGAGCCCATACCTCCCTGTGCTGCTCATCAGAAGCACTGCTAGATGAATGTAAACATTTTGCTGATTGCTTACAGACTGTATCTGGCATGAAAATAATAATGCTTGGCTTTAAATTTCCATTTCCATTTGCACTCCTCAGGTTTACTCTAGCCATCAGATTTCTGTAAAGTTAGCTGGAAATCATTATCCTCTAGAATTCTTTATTAGAAGACCTGAGTGTCTATGCAATGTCCGAATAAATTCTTTAATAAACATGCTTCACAAAAGCTATACGTGGTTTTTCAATGTGTTACTCAATTATGAAATCTCCAGAGAAGTTACACTTCCCCTTTAAAACCTTTTTTGGAGCCATTAATCCTTTCCCCCACCTAACTAGGGATGTGTTTCTGCTTACATGCCTGATCTCTAAGGCCAGTACTAATGGTAAATTGTTTATATCTTGAGTACATTGTTGTTTTTAGATGACCAGTATCTGTTAGTGCAGTGCTCTGCATGCTTAAGATATATAATATGGTAAAAAAAAAAAAGTGCCTTTTTTGTCATGTTAAAGGGGAGAGTGTTAAATCTTGGGAGAAAATGGAGAGGAGATCCATTTTCACTGACCGCTGCTCTCTCTAAAAGGTCTTTTGTGAGTGGTTTTTCCTTCTTGTTGCTCCTGGGTGTTAAGTTTTTGTTATTTCAAACATGTATGTGATTTACACTTCGGGAAATGGAGCAAGCCACTGTTGGAAATAAAGGAGAAGGGAGTGCCTGTTTCCCCTACTGAGAAATAGGCTTTTTTTTCTTCTTCTTGAAAACCAGTATTAGCTTATTAGTGTGAATTTGCAGACCGAATGCCTTCAGCAAAAGAAATTTACTGGAACTTAAGCCCTGCACATTTGCTGTCTTTTATGTTTGAGACAAAATAGAACCTTGTTTTTAGTTTAATCCGGCAGCATTTATTTTCTTTATATTTTTTAAATTTTGTAAGATTCCCCCCAACTTTTCATGTTCTATTCTGCTTGATATGAGTTTTTGTGGTGGTGGTGGTAAATGCACTTGTTGGTCTGTTGATATCTTTAATAAGTCTCATTGCCTGTCACTGGATTGGGCCTTTATTCCACTTTTATTATTGTAATGAATAGTCGTGCTTAACATTAGATTTTATTGGGACTTAGAACCATTTTCTATTTTATTAATTTAGAAAATCATTTTGGGGAATCATGAGGTTTCAGGAGCTGCAGATACGCTTTTGGCCCTTGTAGGTTGCAGTCTTGTAACATAATATTAAATGATTAGATAATTTTTTTAACACACGTGCAGTCTCACTAGCTGAGTGACTGTTATATATGTGGTTATTTTATTAGTTTGTTTATGGGGCATGTAGGGATTAACTACGAGTGTTTGGCATGTTGAATTGCTGTTCGGTTTCATTCCTAGTGAGTGAAGCAAATTCTTATTTGTATCCTTAGTCCCAATGATACATTTTGTAAAGGTTATTGTGCTGTGCTTCCTGTACTTGCTCTCCTGTGGGATTTGTAGGTGTAAGCAACCAACCGCTGGGTTTACTGTTAAGGAAGCTCATCTGAAATGCCTTTTGTAATAGCAATCAGCATTCTCTCATTTAGAAGTAGATACAAGCCCAAGTCATATGCACTATTAAAGGCAAAAAACTAGCATGACCAGTCACAAGCTCTAATATGTGTACAGATTCTCAACGTCATGATAGTTGCAAACAGAAATATGGAACGTTTAAATAATGTTTGTTTGTGTTTTTAAAAAAATCTGAAAATAAAAGAATGAATAGTATGATCCAGATTGAGGTATGTCTTCAGTCAAGTAAGAGCTAGATCTAATAATAGCTTTGAAAGTGCACAGACTTACAATATTTATTCATTCTAAACTCCTACTATCTTACCCACTATAGCCTTCTATAGTGGTTTTGGTGGTAGTAGCAACATGGCACTGTTCCACGGCAATGGGGCAAAGCATTTTACAACAGTTTATCCTCCCTTGCTGTCTTAAGACATCTGGGTTCTGCAGAGAGGCAGTATCCTAATGCCGACCCTCCCTAGAACTTCACCTGACTGCTTTCAGCCAATGAATGACATTCTGTGTGTAGAAATATGCACAAAATAAGCATTTGCCAGACCAGAGCTCTTGTCCTGGACTGGCTAATGATGCCTAAATGAAGCTGCCAGAGTTAGAGATACACCTCCTGTAGCAAAGAGGTTAAACTTGGCATGTGCAGCATCCAAGCACATGATCACTTTAAATCACTGAAATGGTCATGGTGCTTGTAGTAACCCTTTAACACACCTGATGTTTTGTTTTCTGTTTTTGCATTTTATCAACAGAAAGGTACTTGTTTGACAAGTGATTCCTTATGGTGATCACTTATGGTACAGGAATACCCCAATAGATTTGCTTCTCATTTTAGAACTGCAATCTGATTGGCTCTGATAAACCACGCAGTGAAGTATGCATTTTGGTTTTTACTCTTTGAGGATAGCTTATTCATTTCCCTTTGCTTTCTCTTTCATGCAGGTTTCCATTTGAGTGGCACAGTGACAGAGCCTGCAATGCAGTCAGAGCCAGAAATTGTTTGCAATGTAGCCATCAGCTTTGATCGTTGCAAGATTACCTCAGTGACCTGCAGCTGTGGAAACAAGGACATCTTTTATTGTGCTCATGTCGTTGCACTCTCATTATACCGCATCCGCAAGCCGGACCAGGTGAAACTACATCTTCCTATTTCAGAGACCCTCTTTCAAATGAACAGAGACCAGCTGCAGAAATTTGTACAGTATTTGATCACAGTTCACCACACAGAGGTCTTGCCTACCGCTCAGAAACTAGCAGATGAAATTCTGTCACAGAACTCTGAAATAAATCAAGTTCATGGTGAGTTATGCTGCATTTTGGTAAGATCTTCCAATTCTGCCTCTCTATCAGATTTATTTATTAAGAAGCACACCCAGTGTAGACAGACAAGCAATCAATAGTAGAACATAATGCGATGGCATCTGAATATGTGACAGCATAAGTTTTTCAAACGCGAGAGCAACTTATCAGTGTGTTAACCACTTTCTTCCTCTTTCTAAATGAAAAAATGTCATTAGATTAACAAATTATAATTACCATCAGAACCTGTAGTGGTGGCATTGAGTTTCATAACCGTGCTAAGTTCAATAAACTTCAAAGCCTAGTGTTGCACACTGATTTGACCATTAAACTTTTGATGGCGGAAGGGAGTGAAACACATTTCATTTTGTAATCATTGGCCCCCTGTCCGAGGCTTCCTGTTTCAAGAAGCAGAGAGAAGCAAAAGACAGGGACAGACCCAAACAGCACTGGCTTTAAGATTTTGGTGTTAAACAGTTAATGGTTTAACCCCTACAGGTAAGCCAGCACCTTGGACCTCCTGGTAACGTAGCATAACTTCATTCCGATTAAAGGCACTCTATAAGAAACCAAACGACTTGATCTCCTTAAAGTGATCTGGGTACAGTGTCCCTGTCCCCATATCTGCAATGCAAAACTTTGCAGTTTTACAGAAACTATAATGGGTGACAGCCACTAGAGGCACTTTCTGCTGTTTCAAGGAGTTCAACTCTGAGAAACGGTGCTGGATGTCCTTTGCATAAGGATGTTCAGCGTCTTGCAAATACCCATATGAAAGTCTTGATTCAATGCTTTCCTATGCAGAAGGTCTACTGTGCACATCACGCTTGCCACCCTTGTGCATTAGGTTACCCCTTGCTCTGAAGTCGGTGTTTCCAGCACTTGGGGACCTCAGTGCTGGAAACAGGTAAGTGTTAAAAGGGTTATCTAACCCTTCACTTGCCAGGAGGGGGGCAGTTAGGGCAGAGGAACACTACAACCATAAATTCTATTGTATGGAGCATTATCCTATAAACCCCTTTCCAACAGAAATTAATAATACATATAATTTGTCTCCAGCCACAGCTCCATTAAAAAATAACTGCGTGGAATTGCCAATAAGCTAGTAACAGATACATTAGCTGCTATCTCTTTACTAGCAGCTCCTTTCACATGTGCCTCTTCTCCTGTTTAATCTGGTCTATCCCTGTGCTCATCAAAAGAAATGTTAATATGTAGGTCTCTTTGATTTTTAATAATGTTTTCAGTTCAGTTTGTACTCTGTTAAAGCAAATTTATCCTGCTGGTGACATCTAGGCCTTGTGTATCCGTTTGGTGCTTTAGTGATCCCAACTGGTACTCTTAGATTACATTACTCGCTGACCATTGTCCAGGACTGCGGCTAGGGATGGTCTTTATGTACCTTTTTTGAGTAGACTGTTAAAAGGGTTGTACCTAGAATTCATATACTGCAGGAAAGAAATTAATCAAGGGGGTGTCACAAAGGAACTACGACCAATAAATTCTATTCAGCAGCTCATGGCTACAGTCTGGCATTCTTTATGTGCTACACATTATTGCGAAGTACGGTAAATTGTCCAGGAAGGCTTGGTGGAACTGATCATTTGCAACCTGTGCATTACAGGCGTGTTAAGTGTTATTGTCACTGGTATGATTGTGTTACTTTATCTGTATACATGCTGAAATGAAATGTTTGAGGCCTTCTGCCATCGTTTTAGTTTGAAATGGTTTCATTGCGTGCATTGCTGCAGGAACAGGATGTTTGTCTAAATGTGTGGAGAAGGTTATTGAATCTGAGACTTAGAATACGAGGTAAGTGTTTGGCTCTTAGAGTTGCATTACAATATTTGCATATCTGTTATTCATGTTTGGTAAAAAATGCTGACTTAAAATACAATAATGAAGTGCACAAATTGTGCACATGAATAAAAAAAGCTTAAGGTAGAATAAGAACAGAATTTGTTCTTGAAATAATTATTTTAACTATTTCACCTAATTACAAATTGCAGCAAAGTGCAAACTAGCCACTGCAAGATAGTGTTGTTAAGAGATAGACAAGTTCAAACATGCTCCATCTCCAATGATTCAATTGAATCCCTTTCCCCACCCCAACAAGGCATAGTTTTTCTTGGTTGAAGATGGCTGATTTTTGCTGAAATCACTGGTTCTCATTTTCAAAGAATTCCCCCTTTGCAGAAAATACTTGTTCACTCATAGCTTAATGTATCACATGTCACTGTTTGTTCCACTGCTATAGACAAGAAATGTCTATGCAGCGTTCATATCTGGGAATTCCACCTACAGTGGCTTTCTTTTCACATTCTATTATTGACCTCCCCTGCTTTGCTATAGAAGCCTTCATCTGGAGAATAATTGCTGAAAATGTAAGGAAATTGACTTACATCTGGGTACTGATACTGAGTGCAAAAAGGATGGAGCTTGTATAACCATCACATGTATATGCCCATTGTGTCCTGAGCAAAACAGTGTAGTGTTGGTCAGGGCCGGACTGGCCCACCGGGATACCGGGAAATTTCCCGGTGGGCCGCGGCACCTGGGGCCGGTCTGACAGCCCTGATCATTGGGCTGACAGCTCCTGTGATCCCGGCGGCCGTGTGTGAGCTGTGCGGCCGCACAGAGCCCCATGGGAGCAGGGGAAGCCAGGCGGCCGGCTCACACATGGCGCCCGGGATCATTTAAAAAAATAAAAAAAATAAAAATATTTGCGGCGGGGGCGGAGCTTACTGTGCGGCGGGGGCGGGGCTTAGCTTGCGGCGGAGGCGGAGCTTACTGCGCGGCGGGGACGGCTAATTGCAGCATGGGAAGCAGGAAGGAGTCCCTGCTTCCCCAACAACCAGTCTCCAGGAGCTCCAAGCAGGAGGTAAGAAAGAGGTCAGTGTGTGTGTGTGACTGTCTGTGAGTGTGTGACTGTCTGTGAGTGTGTGTGTGTGTGACTGTGACTGTCTGTGAGTGTGTGACTGTCTGTGAGTGTGTGTGTGTGTGACTGTCTGTGAGTGTGTGACTGTCTGTGTGTGTGTGACTGTGACTGTCTGTGAGTGTGTGACTGTCTGTGTGTGTGTGTGACTGTCTGTGAGTGTGTGACTGTGTGTGTGTGTGACTGTGACTGTCTGTGAGTGTGTGACTGTCTGTCTGTGTGTGTGTGACTGTCTGTGTGTGTGTGTGACTGTCTGTGTGTGTGTGTGACTGTGTGAGTGTGTGACTGTCTGTGAGTGTGTGACTGTGAGTGTGTGACTGTCTGTGAGTGTGTGACTGTCTGTGTGTGTGTGACTGTTAGTGTGTGTTTGTGTGTGACTGTCTGTGTGTGCGTGTGACTGTGCGTGTGACTGCCTGTGTGTGCGTGTGACTGCCTGTGTGTGTGTGTGACTGTCTATGTGTCTGTCTGCCTGTGTATGCTACTGTCTGTGTGTGTGTGACTGTGTGTGTCTGTCTGTGTGACTGTGTTTGTGTGTGACTGTGTGTGTGTAACTGTCTGCCTGTGTGTGTGGCTGTCTGCATGTGTGTGTGTGTGTGTGACTGTCTGCCTGTCTGTATGTGTAGATGTTTGCCTCGGTGTCAGTGACTGTCTGCCTCTGTGTGTGTGTGCGCACCTGCTAGTGAGGGAGCCTCTGTGTGTGTGTGCTTGCTAGTGAGTGAGCTTGTATGTGTGTCAGTGAGCTTGTCTGTAGGGATCATATGTGTGTGTGTTAGTGAGCTCTTGTCTGTAAGGAGCATGGGTGTGATCGTGGGCTTGTCTGTAGTGAGCGTGTGTGTCAGTGGGCTTGTCGGTATTGAGCGTGTGTGTCAGTGAGCGTCTGTGTCAGTGAGCGTGTGTGTCAGTGAGCTTGTCTGTAGTGACCATATGTGTCAGTGAGCTTGTCTGTAGTGAGCCTGTGTGTCAGTGAGCTTGTCTGTAGTGAGCATGTGTGTGTCAGTGAGCTTGTCTGTAGTGAATCTGTGTTAGTGAGCTCTTCTGTAGGGAGCATGTGTGTGTCAGTGGGCTTGTCTGTAGGGAGAGTGTGTGCGCATCAGTGAGCTTGTCTGTAGTGAGCGTGTGTGTGTGACAGTGAGCTTGTCTGTAGTAAGCTTGTATGTGTATCAGAGTTTGTCTGTACTAAATTTGTGTGTCTGCCAGTAACCTTGTCTGTGTGTGTCATTGAGATTGTCTGTCAATGAGCCTATTTGTGTGCATCAGTAAGATTGTCTGTGTCTGTGTGTTAGTATGCTTTACTGTATAATTTAATTACCCTGAAAGGACTAATATTTTGAATTAGAAGAAGAAATGTATCAATAATATATATATATATATATATATATATATATACACATTAAAGGTCCACTCTAGGCACCCAGAGCACTTCAGCTTAATGAAGTGATCTGGGTGCCTGGTCCAGCCATGGTTAACCCATTTTTTCATAAACATAGCAGTTTCAGAGTGCTATGTTTATTAATGGGTTAAGCCTTCCCCTATTTCCTCTAGTGGCTGTCTCATTGACAGCCACTAGAGGCGCTTGCGTGCTTCTCACTGTGATTTTCACAGTGAGAGCACGCCAGCGTCCATAGGAAAGCATTGATAATGATTACCTATGTGACCGGCTGAATGCGCGCGCAGCTCTTGCCGTGCGTGCGCATTCAGCCGACGGGGAGGAGAGAAGGAGGATCGGAGGAGGAGAGCTCCCCGCCCAGCGCTGGAAAAAGGTAAGTTTTTACCCCTTTCCCCCTTGCAGAGCCGGGCGGGAGGGGGACCCTGAGGGTGGGGGCACCCTCAGGGCACTATAGTGGTCCTTTAATATATAACATCCTACATAGCACAATGACTTATGGGGCTGGCATAGATTTTTTTCCAGGGCTGCTTCGTATCCCCAGTCCGGCCCTGCTGGTAGGGGGTCCTGAGGACTAACGTTGAGAACCCCTGCTTTACAGTCTCAATAAAGGGAAGAAATTTGTTGCAAGTATTGTATTTATTTGGAGTTCTCTACTTTTGTTATTGAAAACTGTGATAACAG